GGAAAGTTATTATGAATATTAATGGGACAGTATTGATCCCTCATTTCCATAGACACGAATACCGATTCCATCGGAAACTGTATTCAGCGTTCGCGATATTTTCTGCGCGGTGCGGCGCGGCGCGACGCGGCGAGGCGGTTCGCGGTTGAAAAATAAAAAGTTCGCGCACGCCGCGAAGCCAAGGTGGCGATTCAGTTTGTCGCAGAGAGCGATCAAGGTCCTTCTCCTTCTTATTCCGCCGAGGAGAGGCCGCGATAAGATAAGCCCGAACGACGGCGTTCGACTTCCGATCGCGTTCCGTAGTCACCGCTCGTCGCCTCCCTGTTTTCAACGCAGTTTCTTTCAAATATCAAGCGAACTCGAGCCGCTCGTCGAGGCCCTAGATAACTTCGCGGTAACATTTCGGCTACGTGCGAGAACCCATCGACTCAGGAGTTACCCGATAATTTCAAGTGTCCTAAAAATAGCTGCCGGCCATTATCTTCTGCCAATAAAAACTCGTATTTCCTCGTATCTTGCGCGCAGACTTCGACGACGAGGCGCAGATAGCGTAACCGACATAATCCACCGTCGAAAAGATCGATCGATGCTCGACGGCCACGTTAATAAAAGATCCAGCGTAGAAATTCTCGCAAGAGAAATCGCTATGTCCGCTGCCGAGCCGATGCTCCAAACTATCCGAAACATCGAGCTCGAGGTCTCGATCTCGGCGATCGAGAAGAAGGTTGCGACGAAGAATTATTAACAAAAAAATTTTAACGTAGCATTCGATATTGTATGAATGCAATTGGGAATCATTCGAGTACTCCAGTAATTCACTGCGAGTTCTAAAAAAATTTATTATTATGGAACGAGACGCGTTCAATTTTTGTATTCAAGTACGTAAAGTTCGTCTAAAAATACGTAGACGCGAACGAACAATGGTGCTTAATGCGTCGATAACCGGGGCCCTAACCCTTAGACTCCGGCAATAAAAACCGTGGCCCGCTAATTGGCAAGCATTTCGGGTCGAAGAGACGGCGACTCGAGGTCTAAATTAGCGCGAGTGGACGCGTATCTCTGGGTCCGCTATTTTTAGGCTGATGCCCCTTATTATCGGTGGCCGATGGGTCCAGTTTCGTCGAATCCATCGAAGACTACGGGGACGCGGAACGGCGAGGACGCGAGGCGACGCGGCCGAGCATAGGTGGCTCGTCGAATGTAGCAGCGTGGAACGCTTATGTTAATGAGCACTCGCGATTACCAGACGGGGCAGCGAGCAGGGAGAGATGATGTCGAGCCGATAGAGACGTCCAGACCGGATACAAGGAAGGTCGAAGGAGAAGAACCGGATAATCGTCACCGTGCTAGCCACGCACCGGGTTTCGCCTATCGGGCCGTTCCGAAGTCTGCCCCCGTTCTCCAGACGAGGAAGGAAGTTCGCGTTCTGCGCGTACACCTGCGCAACGGGCGCCTCCCACCTGCGGGACACCTGAACTTACCGATGGAACCGCGAGAGACCCCGAGCTTGATGGGCACCTGACTCGCGGACGTGTCCACGATAATGCACCGATAAGCGATCGATGCAACTTTCGCTTTTACTTTCGGCGATGCCTTCGATCGTAGAATATACGCCGTTTTATAGAGGATCGATGGCCGAGATGGTAAAAGAGGAATACCGTGCTGTTAAACGCCTAACCGAGAGAGCAAATAACCAACCGAATAACCCGGGTGAACAGAGTGTCCTTCGGTGGACGCACTTGCTCGCGGCACGTTCGCGGCCGCGCAACGGTCACCAGGAACATCCTGGCGGAGCTATGATAACGGATTCTCCGGGAATACTGTTACTACGCCCGAGAGAGTGGGCTACAGACTGCCGAACGATTCGCATGGAACGAAGTATCGAGCCGTAAAAGAATCGACAACGGGAGCCAACGATTCCACGGACTTCTCGAATCGGGATCTCCCGAAGAGACTATACCCGTCCAGCTAAGATGTTCGTCTAACATGACTGCGAAGTCTCCGCGAAACATCATCGTAGGACGATGACTTTGCTTTTAAATTAAACTTTGAAACCTCTGCTTCGAGGCCGCGTTTGTCGTATAAGAGATTGCAAAGTTTGACGAAATGGAAGGGTTACTCAGAAGCGTCGTAACTTTGCGGAAAAAAATCGCAAACGAGTCCCTCTTTTTTTAAATTGAAGAGGAGGAATCGAATTTTATTCCGATGCAAACGGCATCTTTGAAACAAATTTTACAAAGTCCGGGCATATCGTCGAACTTGGCAATTCGCGGGGCTCGGCAATTTAAAGGGTTGGAGCGGCGAGGACGCACGCGAACGTTCCAATTCCGCCGTGGACCGAAGAAATCGCGGAAGGGGTATGCGTGGCGTCTGCGAGAGGCTGCGTTCGACCCGGAATTTCCTCGAGCCACGCGATTCACCTTCTTCAGGAAGCTCGCGTGACCGTTGCTCGAGGGAAAGCGACGTCGGTTGGCGGAAACATGTTGGCCGGTGGCGCGAGTGCCGTTTCGCGTGACAAAAAATTGTTACGGTCGACGTAACGACAGATTATTTATTTATATCGCGCGGCAGGTCCTCTAATCGCGGCTGGATTCGCTCTCTTCCTACGCGCTGAAATTCTCGAGCGAAGGAGAGCGAGAGAGACTTTTATCGAATTCATCGGGCAGTTTGCGAGGCGTTCTTCGGCTCGCGACGATCGACGTTCCGCTCGATGAAAAAACCAGAGGAAAAAGATGAAACGGCAAGAAAGAGAGACAAAAAGAGAGAGAGAGAGAGAGAGAGAGAGAGAGAGAGAGAGATCTGTCAAGGACGAGCCTCGCGTTGCGGCGGCTANAGCATAGGTGGCTCGTCGAATGTAGCAGCGTGGAACGCTTATGTTAATGAGCACTCGCGATTACCAGACGGGGCAGCGAGCAGGGAGAGATGATGTCGAGCCGATAGAGACGTCCAGACCGGATACAAGGAAGGTCGAAGGAGAAGAACCGGATAATCGTCACCGTGCTAGCCACGCACCGGGTTTCGCCTATCGGGCCGTTCCGAAGTCTGCCCCCGTTCTCCAGACGAGGAAGGAAGTTCGCGTTCTGCGCGTACACCTGCGCAACGGGCGCCTCCCACCTGCGGGACACCTGAACTTACCGATGGAACCGCGAGAGACCCCGAGCTTGATGGGCACCTGACTCGCGGACGTGTCCACGATAATGCACCGATAAGCGATCGATGCAACTTTCGCTTTTACTTTCGGCGATGCCTTCGATCGTAGAATATACGCCGTTTTATAGAGGATCGATGGCCGAGATGGTAAAAGAGGAATACCGTGCTGTTAAACGCCTAACCGAGAGAGCAAATAACCAACCGAATAACCCGGGTGAACAGAGTGTCCTTCGGTGGACGCACTTGCTCGCGGCACGTTCGCGGCCGCGCAACGGTCACCAGGAACATCCTGGCGGAGCTATGATAACGGATTCTCCGGGAATACTGTTACTACGCCCGAGAGAGTGGGCTACAGACTGCCGAACGATTCGCATGGAACGAAGTATCGAGCCGTAAAAGAATCGACAACGGGAGCCAACGATTCCACGGACTTCTCGAATCGGGATCTCCCGAAGAGACTATACCCGTCCAGCTAAGATGTTCGTCTAACATGACTGCGAAGTCTCCGCGAAACATCATCGTAGGACGATGACTTTGCTTTTAAATTAAACTTTGAAACCTCTGCTTCGAGGCCGCGTTTGTCGTATAAGAGATTGCAAAGTTTGACGAAATGGAAGGGTTACTCAGAAGCGTCGTAACTTTGCGGAAAAAAATCGCAAACGAGTCCCTCTTTTTTTAAATTGAAGAGGAGGAATCGAATTTTATTCCGATGCAAACGGCATCTTTGAAACAAATTTTACAAAGTCCGGGCATATCGTCGAACTTGGCAATTCGCGGGGCTCGGCAATTTAAAGGGTTGGAGCGGCGAGGACGCACGCGAACGTTCCAATTCCGCCGTGGACCGAAGAAATCGCGGAAGGGGTATGCGTGGCGTCTGCGAGAGGCTGCGTTCGACCCGGAATTTCCTCGAGCCACGCGATTCACCTTCTTCAGGAAGCTCGCGTGACCGTTGCTCGAGGGAAAGCGACGTCGGTTGGCGGAAACATGTTGGCCGGTGGCGCGAGTGCCGTTTCGCGTGACAAAAAATTGTTACGGTCGACGTAACGACAGATTATTTATTTATATCGCGCGGCAGGTCCTCTAATCGCGGCTGGATTCGCTCTCTTCCTACGCGCTGAAATTCTCGAGCGAAGGAGAGCGAGAGAGACTTTTATCGAATTCATCGGGCAGTTTGCGAGGCGTTCTTCGGCTCGCGACGATCGACGTTCCGCTCGATGAAAAAACCAGAGGAAAAAGATGAAACGGCAAGAAAGAGAGACAAAAAGAGAGAGAGAGAGAGAGAGAGAGAGAGAGAGAGAGAGATCTGTCAAGGACGAGCCTCGCGTTGCGGCGGCTACAACGCGAGACACACGGCAGAGGAGACGGAACTTTGCACGAACGGCAAAAATAAGAGAGTACGCGGCGAACGCGCGAGCAACTCTCCGGAGAGATTTGCATAAACAGGCAATCAAAGTTCAAATCTGCGCGCGGACGAAAGATAAGCTGGCCGATGTCGGCCGGGAGATAGCGGTCTTTGTTCCGTGTGCGAACAAACATGCAAATTTCTTCGGCTTTTACATCGCGCCGGGCTCATTACCGGGAATCATTGCCGCGCGATCGATGCGAAATGGGTCTTACAAGCCGGGACGATCGATCCCGCGGAAAGACGTTCTACCGGAGCGACGTCGCTACCCCAAAGGTCGATGAAATCGAGCAACAAACCCGTTCGAAAGTTTGTCCCGAAGCTCGCCTCGAACCCAACTCGGAGAAGGTAAAGACGACCAGCGAAGGGAGAGATCGATGGGGGACCCCGACCCGACGACACGGTGTATCGTCGGCGTCGCGGGAGAATCAGAAATCATCGGTTTTACCTGAAGTAGTGGGATCCGAACGGCGAACAGTAAAACGGGTCGTTGTGCATGTGCGGCTGTCCTGGTACTCCGGGTCCCTGTGGATGGGTATGCGGGCCCATGGGGCCGGTGGGTCCTGGACCGCACATCCCGGGCGCCCCTTGGGGCTGCATGCCGGCCGGGCCCATCATGCCGGCGGCGGGGCCCATGGGATGGGGTCCAGGATGGTGCGGCGAGCCGACCATGTGGGGTCCCGGATGGTGAGGGTGCGGCGAGGGTCCTCCGCCGCCCATGTGGGGGTGCGGAGCGTGCGGCGATCCGCTCATCATTCCGTGGGGCGGCATCGGGTGCGGACTCGGCGAGGCCCCGTTCAGGTGGGGCCCGCCGGTGACACCGCCGTGAGGGGTCGGCGGGCCGCCGTGCGTCGGCGTGGTCGCCGGCTGGGGCGGCGGCAGGTTAGGGGGTCCGGTTGGTCCGGTGGCCGCAAGCGGCGGCAGCGGGCCGTTCGCCATGTTGTTCAGCTGCGTGAGCGAGGCCGCTGCCGACGCCATCGCCTGCAAGGGATTCGTGGCGCCGCTCGTCGTGTTGACGACTAGACCGCCGGCGTTGCCGATGCCCGGCCCGGCGTTGTTCGGGCCAACCAAACTGCTGCCGGGGTTCAGCCCGTTGTTCCCGTTTCCGTTGACGTTGACGTTGATGCTGCCGTTGCTCGAGCCGCCGGGGTTGTTGTTGTTGTTGTTGCCGGTGGTGGTGGTGTTCGCGTTGCTCACACCGCCGCCGAGTGATTGCAAGGACGGCGGCAGCGGTGGCGAGCCGGCGGGGGGCGCTGCCGGGCCCCCGAGGCACCGGCCCGACGGACCGGAGGCGGTTACGCTGCTGGGCGCTACCGGCACGCCGGCGTGGAGTGCTATTCCACCTGGGGGGCGCTGTGCCACCCTTACCGGCATCACTCCCCCCTCCACGACGCTCTTCACCCTCTCCTCGAACTCCCGCCGCCGATAATTATTGGGGTACGAGCGCGGGAATCCGTCTCTCCGAAGCCACCGCTGCTGTCCCTGTCTTCGCCTTAACGCTCGCCTCGCTTCTGCGAGACTCCCCTCGGAATCCCCTTTGCCGGCACTCGATTCTTCCGATCGACGACGACGACGACGACGACGACGACGACGAGGACTAGGACGAGAACACTTCCGCCGAAGAGAAAAACCCTAAGATCACCTCGAGTTTTCACTGCGCGAGCAAAACTCGGTTCACAATAATATAACCGTGGTCGAACGGATCACACCGAACGGAGCACTTTACGCCCCGCGTGCGTCGTGGACACTGTCGTGCAACAACCACGTGTCCTCGGCACGGACGGAACCTCGTGCGTCGGCCGGTTCGAGTTTCCCGAGCCGGACCACCGTGTCTCGACTCGACGAAACGAGAGCGTGCTCGATCGAATCGATGCTCGGGAAGCTGGCACGAAGATCGACTCTGCTTAATATTTCCAAGGCGAGGATCGATCCGTCGGCTATAATTCGCATGATACCTTGTTCGAAACGGGTCCTACCTAAAATCAGGAATGTCCTACACCTTCGGGCTAAAACCCCGTGAACGAACGCGAACACCGAAAACGGAACACCAGAAGATCCCGAGAAGTCGCGGCGATCACTGTATCACACCGGTACACTAACCTTATCGATTCTATCACACACTCGGCTATATATGCGTATGGATTGTTCGTACGTGAAGAACGCGAAGCGCGAATCGGCCTATCTACGGACACTGTACAGGGGGGAAGTTTAGTGGCAGCGGTCGTCGAGGCATCCGCGGGGGCACGTGGCCGTCGCGTCGTCGGCGTCGCGGCGCGCACCTACGCCGCGGACCAGCAGCAGCAGCACAACACCTCGCCTCCCGCCCATCCTGGCGCCCTTCTTCTCTTCCTTCTGGCAGCAGCAGCCGGCTCCCGCGGGATCGTTCGCATCCCGTGTCGCGGCTTCAGTCGCCGCTGGGCGACACGAACACCAGGGCCACGCGGCCGCGCTGCTCTCTGGCCGGCTGGCCGCCGCGTTTCCGCATAGTCCGCGGCTCGAACTCCGATGCTGGACGATCTCCTCCTCCTCCACCTCCGACCCTAACCACCGTCGAAGAGCGGAACCGACCCGGACGACCTCGCTAAACCGAAATCCTGGCTGCTGCCAGGAGGCAGGACACGCGACCCTTCGAGGTCGGTTCACCGAACTGTAACGGGTGTCACTTGCGCACTCCGAAGAACCACCGCGCGCGTTTCGACACTGTGCCCGGGGGGACGGGGAACGACCGAGCAGCGGACACCACCGTGTGGACGCGGGACGGGAGCGCGCGCGCTGCGTGTGTCACCAAGCTACGAACGGCACGGTTCGCGTACGCTTCTACACTCGACGAGAGCAATCGCGTTACTGCGGAGCGGCAGGCGTGGCGGCGCTGCGATCGCACTCGAGCTTTCGAGGACAGAACCGCCGTGGAGGGGAACGGAGCGCCACGCGAGGACGCTGGGAGGGGGTAGCTTGAACCGAAGCCACCGCGAAAGGAGCTGTACCTGGTGGAAGGGGCTGCCTCGCGCACCGACGACAAGGTGGGGAGCCACGTGAGCGCCCGATGCCCGATGCCCGATGCTCGGTACCCGGTGCCCGCTGCCCGGAGCCCGATGCCCGATGCCCGATGCCCGATGCCCGATGCCCGATGCCCGATGCCCGATGCCCGGTGTCCACGCAACCGACGCGAAGCGGCTCTTTGCGTGCCACCCCTGCCTCAACTGTCCGTGCCGACTCGACTCGACTGCCTCGTCTTGCCTTGTCTTCTCTTCCAAAGCTACCTCGGACCCTTTGCCCTTTGATTCCTTCGCGATTTTACTCTGCCACGACGGCTTTCCATATCCGCGACAGCTTGGCTATGGGTTCGCGGGAATGCAACTATTGCTTCGGGTCGACGCATGTATCGGCACGTCGGGGATTCTACCTGGTTTTCGTTCATCCCCAAAACGTACTTTCTATAGTACCGACGTCATCGTGGAGGGTGTTGATAGTAAATCGAATCGCAAGACTCTTCCGTAAGAAATAATCTTTGCATTCGATGCTAAATTAACTGTTAATATTCTGCGAAGTGTTTCGGATAAATAAATCTTTAATATCCTGCAACTGGCGAGACCAGCGAGCCACCCAACCTTTCACGGGTTAATCGTGTTATCTGAAAGTTCGGGTACTTTCTGTAGCAACCAAAAACTCGCTTCGCAACACTCAATTACAACGAAGCAAAGCACAGCGTAGCAAAGTTCCAAGTTTGTTCTATCAGAGGTTCGTTCGTTCGAGCGATGAACTTGCCGAGGAACAATCGAAGACGCTGGGCCGCTGGATCGGTCTTCGGAGTTTCACTTTCGCGATCGAAATCGCCGGTGGTCCCGAGGAACCCGGGCCAGGATTGATTCCGGCAAGATCACGGAAGCACGGAAATCCGATTTATCGCGTTCGGGGTCAAGTTGGCCGCATTCGCGCCGCGTGACGAAGAAGAATGGTCTTCCACGTTGACGCGCGGCGCGTGCGAAAGCGATCAGCGGCGCGTCGGACGCCGCGGCTTCGGCCGCCATTTTTCCTTCCCCGATCCAATGATTAATCGTCCCGTTAATTTCTGAACGGGATCCGGGGAAATTCGGAAGCACCGCGGCGAGCCGCGAAGAGATCCGTGCGAAACGGACGGTGAATTTCACAATGAAATTCGAGAGAAGAAACTGCCGAAGAGTTCGCGCGCGCGCGCGCGCGAAACGGAATTATTAAAGCGGCGGCCGTAAATTCGCGGAGCCGCGAGAGGATTCGCGGGCTTTCCGCGGCGCTATTTTTTCGTAAATCTAGTTTCGAAAAGGCCGCCGCGACTTAATAACGGGATTACCGTTCAAGTAATTTAGGATTAAAAAGTAATCGACCGGGTATCGTTCCCATCCGGTAAGGAAATATCCTACGGTCTCGCCGCCGCGCCCGATACCAGATTAACCGGATGAAGAAAAATGGGAGCACCTGGGAAAAAGGGACGGATTTCGAGCGTCTGCGAGAAGAATGGGAAATTCTTTTTCCCTGAAACTAATCGCCGGTGGTACACGTGTCGCGATATTCGTAATTCTACGCCGCACAGCTGGCTGGAAAGCTGTTTGTCGCGACCAAAATTATTTGATCGTCATCGCGAGAGGTTTGAGGTCACGGTGTTGTAGGTCGTTGAATTCGTTTCGACACCGGATTGTCGCGTATCGACCGTCCAATTTTTATTATACGCGCAAACGTTTGTCTCCTCGTATACGATGTTCTTTTTCGATTATTTTGTGCGTCGCGATCGCTGATTATATGTGACAAGTGACGAAAGGAACATGGCGTAAACAAACGCCGGTGTAGTCACGGCCTTAGAGAGCTCGCGACTCGTGACTCGATTTCGCGCGATGCAGCTAAACAAACGCGAGCCGTTGGTCACGATTCTTTATTCCTATCGAAGGAATCGGTCGAGGCAACCGCGCGCGAGCCGAGTTTCCCGTTATTCGATTCTTCATAGGAGCATGCCTATTAAACGTTCGCCTTCGCGAACGGTTCCTCGATCCCCTAAACGTTTATATTTTCAAGTTTCGATAGGTTATCGCTTTTAATTAGATACAAAATGTTTTCTTTCGATACGATAGTAGAATTTCGAGAGCCGTTCTCACCTGCGACGAGGAGACGACTCACGCGAGAGCGTACAGGGCCGAAATTCTTTTCCCGAGTCGACCAAGCTACTCCAAATTGTCGAGAGCGCGTGGAACAGGTTCGAAACGGTACAGAGCTAATAACGTGGCCCTAACCGCGGCCTAAGGCGCGGGACAGAGACTCAGGTAACTCGGTACTCGCCACGCAGGTAGAGTTTGAGACAAGAGGTATCATTGTCCGAGTGCCGGGAGGCCGCAAGGCGACCGTTTACAAAGCCCTGGAAATTCCAGGTACCCCCGGACGTTTAACGGAAAATAAAGTTTCCCCGCCCCGTTCCCCGGATCCCCGAGGCTTCGGTCTGTCCGACGCGGCGAGTCGGCGTCTCGTTTGCCCCCGGAAAATAACAGTTTTCCAAGGAAACAAAGAATTCGTCGATCTCCCTAGTTTCTGGTCGGCGAAAAATTTGACCCAGATTAACGAAACGCTCTCGTGGCCGGCCAGGAAGAGAGTCTTCTTCTTGCTCAGGGTAGAAACTTTTTATCGAAATAACGACGGGTCCGAGTCCAATTTAACGTACAGGGAACGAAGAAACTTAAAAAGGAACGTCGAACGTGCTATCGCAAGCATTGCCACTGAAATTGTGTTAACATAAATACAGATTCTGTTCCATTGTATAATTTTCCTTTAATACAATCGAAGAACGAGTAATAATTATTAAAAGAACAAGTACAAGGTCTTAGGAACTGCAAGATCATCGAAGTGCTTACAAAACCGCAGAGGGAATCCAAGATTCCATCGGCGACGAACCGATAAATTTATGGAGTTTCGATAAAGTGGGGGGCGACGATTCGGTCGCAGGGGGGCTTACATTGTTGCCATCGAAATTTCCAACACGTGGGTGGTGCGTTTCTGGTCTACACAACGTGGCACGACCTTCTGGCACCGGCAGAAGCGCAGAGGGGAGAGAGAGCAGCGAGCAGTCCGGTCCCTGGATAGACTACCAAGAATTCCCCGAGACCATTAATCTGCTCTCTGCGACACTCGGGCCCCGTTTCCCTGTCCCCCCCTTTTCCCGTCCGACGCCCCACCTTTCGGTCAGGTAAGCGTGGCCAGGACCCAAGCCGATCCGAAAGTATCGTCCGAGGCCGTTGGCGAAACGAGCCGGGTTGTTGGCACCGATCGGAAACCGCTGTCGCGACCGGAAGCGGCCGCGATCGAGCCGCGAGGGGGCTAATTGGACCTCGGGGACGCGAGGATCGTCGCGGAGACGAACGCGATCGCCTCGGTTCCGCGGTCCCGAGCCATCCGGACACGGGTAACGCGCCCGAGACGCGGTCAACGTCTTCGGGGTCTATCTTCGATCATTGATTTCTTGTTTAGCAGGCTGTTGCTGCCTCGGAGAGCTCTGCTCATTCTTGCTGCGAGGCGAAGAGAGACTGGTAGGCGTCGTCGAGAGCGGTCCGAGGAACCGTGAACGGCTCTGTTAGTTTCCAGATTAGTATCTATCCCCGATTCATCGAGGGGTAGCGTCCGGGGAGGCGCTGCGGTCGGGGAAGTGAAAGTTTCCTCGAAAATGCCGTATTTCGACAAAACGTATTTCCCAAGGTACTTTCTTTGGAACTTCGAAATTTTATAGCTTACATTTCGCCAAAAAATATGCATATTATCGTAACTTTATTTTTGTTCAATTTATTTTCTAGCAACTACTTGTGTGATCGAAGTACGTCAAGGGGTTGTTCGCGCAGCGTTCGCTCGAAAATAAATAAATTTTCCCGATTAGCTCCTAGTCTTCTACTACAACAACGTTCCCAGTAGCGACGCTAATTCCTTACGGAAAGGGTATCCCCGTTTCAAATATCCTCGCTATTCGGCAACGAACAAGATTCTTGCAACTATCCAGCTCCGGAACAACTCGAGAACCCGCGAACAGTTGTTCATCCCTTGTTACCGATGTCACCGTGAACTTTAGCGGAAAGACACCCCCCGCAGAGGCTAGCCGAAGAGCGGCCAGCGGTTTGGCCGTGGAATCGATCGAAATCCGGCGTGCAGTCACCCAGTAGCCTAGAAAAACAGGAGATTCGCCACCTGGCCATGGAGGAAGACGACGAGAGCCGCGCTAGGAACGCGAGTTTTCCACGAGCGTACAGGTACTACACGGGGACCGTGTCGGCTGCGGCTCCGGTCAGGAATCCTCTCAGGTGACTCTTTGAAAGTTCGTCAGGGTTTCGAGGGAGGGCGAGAGAGACGGAGACAAAGAGAGACAAGGAGAAAGAGAAAGAGAGAGATAGAGAGAGAGAGAGAGAGAGCGATAGACAGCGAGAAAGAGAGGGGGGGGGGAATGCGAGGGGGCGAGCAGGCAACCGGGCAGCCAGGTTGGCCGGCAAGCCAGGCAGCGGCCACGCAGGCAGGCAGGCAGGCGAGCAGGCGAGCAGGCAAGCAGGCGAGCAGACCGTCGGGCGTCGCGCAAGAAGGAACAATTAGAGGCCAAATAAAGACGAAGAAGCGAGTCACAGTCGAGCGGGTTCGCAACGAGCGTGTGTGTGATTTCGGTCACGCCGCGCGAGCGCCTGTACGTTGACCCCCGGTGGAAAGGGGGGAGGTGCAGGGGGGCACAGAGGGAGAGAGAGAGAGAGAGAGAGAAAGAGAGAGAGGGAGAGGGAACGGAAAAAACGAAGAAACACCGGGGGCAGGCAGCTGAAAAAGGGAGGGAAAAAGACGCGGAGAGATCGACGCTGGGCCGTAGGAGAGCG